TTACAAAATCAACTTAATATTTTGTAAAGATGCAGGAAATGTCAAACAAAAACTTTTACGTATCTTATTAGTTTAATAATGAGACTGTTAACATGCCTAAGAATTGAATCTGAGGAAATGTGAAAAATATGCTGAAAAGTGAAAAAACAGCATAACTTCTACAATAATGGCCCGATCATGCTGATTTTCGAACTTGACCTGCGTTTTATGAATATTCATCAGCTCTGTAAATATAAAACCAAAAAGTAGAACTGCCCTCCACTTATCGTGTTTACAAGGAAAGTGCACGGCGCCGGCATCGGCATCGGCGACGGCATCGGCGACGACAGACGCAGGTGATGGCAATATGTACAGACACATCTGTGTCTGTACATAAAAACGAAGCTGAAATCACCTTTTGACGAATAATATACACATCCAGTGGTGATGATTATTTAAGATAAACAATTTTAGTCACCACTCTTATGTCATCTCAACAACCATTATGACACCCTCACTTGGTTTGTATGCCCCTTTAATCTTTTGGGAATCAAATTTCATGTTGATCTATTTCATATCCCCAGACTTAACTTTGATAAGAAATTAGTAAAAATTAAGTCTATTCTTAAAGCATGGAACAGAGGAATGGTCACCCCCATTGGCAAGTGTATGATTATAAAATTCTTAATGATTTCTCAATTAAATCATTTGTTTATATCCTTACCGAATCCTAGTCAAAGGTTTATCAATGACCTTCAGAGTGATCTCTTCCACTTTTTGTGGAACTCAAACATTGACAAAGTAAAGCACGATATAGTTATTAAAAATTACAATGAAGATCGTATCAAAATGATACACTTGCCTTCACTAATATCCTCACTAAAACTATGCCGTAACTTGGATAAGACGTTTTTTTACAACAAGAAAAAAAAAAAGTCAAATTATTGTCGATAAATATCTGAATTTTGAACTTCTGTCGATGAGTGGTAATGAGTATTTGAATAAATGTCTAAAAGTTTGCCTAAACCGGTTCAGGGGGGGACGTGTTATTTGCATGGAAAGAACTCAGGGTCATGGAAGATAAGTTAAGGGGGAAAAGCAAGACAGTGTTGGACACCCCTGTCTGTTATAATGAAGCCCTAAGAGTAGACAGTAAGGAAATATACTTTAAGAATTGGTTTGATAAAAGTATATCTATAATAAGAGATTTTATAAAAGATGCTAAAACATTTACTTTTTTCTCACAAGAAGAAATAACTAAGTGATACGGTATTCAGACCAACTTCCTAGAATATCAAAGGGTGGTAAGCATTATTAAGCAATACCTGAGATTGCATGACATAAACAAATTTGAAGAAATGCTCCCTTAACTCCCACAAAAGTAAGAAGGGCTGCCAAGATTTCTATAAAATACTTAGTAAGAATACTTCAACTCCAAAGGGCAAAATAAATTGGAAAAAAAATGATCAATATTAATGACCAAGAGTGGTCCCTAATAAATAAACTGCCCTTCAACCTTCCTATCAATCCTAAATTTAAATGGTTCCAGTATAAAATAAATCAACATATACTACCGACAAATAGTTATCTTGCTAAAACTGGTCTGGTCAACACCCTCCTTTGTAAAAGGTGGGAGAAAGAGATGGAGACAATTATTCATGTACTATATCCGTAACGGAAACCTTTTTAAAAGTAATCAAAGATAAGCTGAGAATGACTTTAGAGAAAAAAAAATTATGTTAGGAATTCTTGACAAAAAGGAAAGTAATAAAGATGCGTATAATGTCTTAAATATGATAATCAAATAGGTGCAGAAACAAGCAATTATTACTTATTTCTTTTGTTGAATTTGAATTTGTGCCATCTTAGGACGATATAATAGTTTCGAGTGTAAATGTGTGACAATTCCCTTATGCCTTAGGGACATAGCCAGTTAGTGCATGTCTAACATCTCTGTGTACCTAAGTTCACAGCTAAGCCTTTATATGAATCTGAGATAATTTCAATAGTCCCAACTGTCAGTCTTTTGTGTTCTACTAAGTTCCTTATGGAGACTCTTATATGTTTATATGTTGGTTTGTGATGTGTAGTAACTTGTTTTGTATGAAAATGTAAGTGATGCTTTCTGGCTAACCAGGCACTTGAAGTGAGATGTGGTGACACCGTCATACCTTTCGATAAGTTTCGGAGCCTCAACTATAAGGCTCACACGCTGCAAAGGTTGGAACAACAAACACCCTCGTGAAGAGGCTGGCAGGAACTACCTGGGGGGCAAACTTTCCCACCCTGAGAACAACCTCCCTTGCCCTGGCATACTCCACTGCAAAATATTGCACCCCTGTGTGGTGCAGGAGTAGCCATACAAAGACAACTGATACAGCCCTAAACAACAGCATGAGGCTTATCACAGGATGTCTGAGATCAACACCAAAACCCTATCTCCCGGTACTAAGCGGCATACTACCCCCAGATATCAGACGAGATCAACGTTGTCTCCAACTGGCCAACAGAACACATGAGCCAGGACATCGTTCCAGTGACTCCCGCAAGATGAGGAATATACCAGGCTTTCCTCAAGGGCTCTACTGATTTCATACTTGCGAAAGTTAGAGGAGGACAAAAATGAAATGTCAAAAGAGACATGGGGAATGGTGAAATGGCAGGAAGAATGGGATGTCCTCCAAAATGGCAGACTGTATGACTTCATTCCTGAAGTGAGCACCCGACCACCTGGCCATGAGCTGGGTCGCCTATCATGGATTCGACTGAATCGCATCAGAACAGGTCATGGCAGTTTCCTACCCGTAACATGTTTGAATGTCTGATCTGTCAATCTCAAGCATGCATGTGGTGCCCCTCTACAAACAGTCAACCACATCCTAGACACTTGTCAGCTGCATCAGTGCCCAGGGTTGGACTCACTTAAGTCGTTAGACGGAAGAGCTAAAGACTGGCTTGAAAATGACAATATAATCCTTTGACTTTTGATTCTTGAGTGTACATTACCTAGATAAAAATGGACGTGTGTGTGTGTGTGTGTATAGTTATTTTGTGCAATGTATTCTGTCACTCCCCTTTATTAGTGCTGTTAACATCCAATGAGACTACTGTATTGTAGTTTGTGTCTGTTGTATATATATATGTTACAATATATGTTTAGTGTAAAAATGTGTTTTGTTTTGTGATGTCAATAAAATTGAAAAAAAAAAGAAAATCTCCAAGTTACCTTTGAATAACCACGCCCAAGTTCTGCAAAATTATTGAAAGGACCATGCTGGAATCATTGTTTTTCTTCCTCACATTATTTTTGGTCTAAAAATTAGATCTCCAAGTACTAGTAGGTTGAATTAAGACTGTAAGATTTGCAATTTGCAAATCTAGGCAATTTCCACCACCATAAGGTCTGGACCTTATTCAAGTTGTAATTAAATTGGTAATCAAAGAATAAAACCACAAAAATTACAATTATGACTAAATGACCAAGGGCAAAGTATACTATTTTGTACCTTTAAATGAAGGTGTAGGGAAGTACCAAAGCCATTAGATTGGGCTTCTTCTTCCTCTCTTTTGCCTTGTAAGTGCTTGATAATTTGAAGTATTGTAAGTCTTGTTCCCAAACAGCTTGAAAAAAATTAATGTTCAAATAATAAATATATAGTGGGAGAGCAACAATCATTATTCTTAATAAAAAAATTGTATGTTGATCTTTTTTAAAAATTATTTGCCAAAGTTTTGATAATCGTTCTTAATTGAACAAAAAATTTAATTATTATTTTGTACTTCCTAAAAGTATATCCACATACTCATATACCCACACCCAGTCTCTCTCT